AAAAAAGCGTGCATATGTAGAGTGCATGCCTACGCGTTGGCTCAATGAATCGTGACCGCGCATAACGTACAACCCACGTTCACTCATTTGCTTTCCCACATTCTCGCCCGCAGCTGCCCGCCGCTCTCTCTCTTTCTCAAAAGCAGTGGCCATCGCCAAGCGGCGCAGCCAGGGGTCTGGAAACGGGGCGGGCCGCATCCTTACTCGCATCTGCAGATCGGCCGGGCAGGGGATGCGCTAGCGCTCGTTTTGGGTGGAGAAGGCAATGCGAGAATCTGAGAAAGAGGGCAAGTGGGGAGCGAGCATCAGAGACGGGGAGCTTGGCAGGCTGCGAGGGGAGGGTAGCAGGTGAGGTTGGATGCAGCGTTCGCTCGGGTGACCTGGGCCGGCCGTGTTTCTGGCTGCGTGCAAGGGTTGGGGAACGTAGCACTGTCCCGGGCGGCGGGTGGGATGGGATGCAAGCAAGCGATGGCGGAGGCGATCTGCCTATGTAGGTGGGTGTGTGGATGTGTGTGGGTGGTGTGGTGTCCTCCTCCTGGGTTCATGAAACTGTGCTTTGCGACTGCATGGCATGCTTCGTATGCGGCTAGGACCATCTGCTTCATAATGGTATTGCGTACCTTTTACGTGGATAGTGGATTCAAATTTTTCACAGGTGAAAGCCACTGCTACGCTGTCGATACCTGGCGCTTGGTGTGGGCCTAGATGCTTCTACACATACGACTAGGTTAACGGAACCTGGGCCCTGCCAATCGTTTGCTCACGCCGTTCAGGTCTCCTGATATTGCTTGAACATGTTGGCATACTCGAAGAAGCTGGCCTTGTACGCGCGCTCCTGTGTCGTAAAATTGACGTACTGCGGCATCCGTTAGCATGCCATTGCCGCTGGCTGTGCGGCAAAACTTACCTGCAGTCCAAATTTGATTGCAAAGCCGCTGCTCCATTCAAGGTTGTCGACAAACGACCACGCCAAACAGCCAATGACGTTCACACCCTCACTCATTGCCAGCAGTACCGCGCTCAGGTAGTTGCGGAAGTAAGCGCTGCGGATGGGGTCGGTCAGGATATCTATCTTGTTCGTTTTGAGGTTTTCAAACGGCTCGGCGAAGCCAAACTCGGTGATGGCGATGCCTCCTTCCGGTGCCCAGGTGTCCTGGATGTAGTGCAGAAAGCGTGGGACCCAGTCTACGGCTGAGTACAGCCACTCGGTCGTGAGTGGGTCGGAGGCGGCGCCAATGGCCCAGTTGCCACCTTCCGAGTTGTACGAGAAGCTCTCGTTGTAACAGCCTGGATATAGCTCGTGGCTGGGGTCCGCAACGCAAGCCTCGATGCCTGAGTCTGGCGCGAAGACAAAATTGCTGGTATATGCATCATGAGCGAAGAAGTCGGCGGAACCACGTATCGCCGCTTTCTGCTCAGGTGTGAACTCGGGCAGAAATTTGGATACGTAGGCTTTCAGGTGTGGTGGGTAGTCGCCATCGATAAAGATTGGGTGCGCGAAGTGGCCTTCGTTGAAGTCCCAACTGCGCTGTACCGCTTCAGCGTCGGCGCTAGAATTGGTACGCGGGATCTTATATCCGCCGTTGTTCTTGAATGTTATGGTACTGTTCGGGCTGAGAAGCTTCTTGCCTAGACGGTAGGCTTGAGCGTGCGCGAGGAGAACGTTGTGACTACAGATATATGGCTGTTGCTCGGCTGGGTAGACTATTGACGAAAAGTAGTGCTTAGTAAGCGGATAATATCCACAGTACACTGATCTTTCATTTATTGTGTACCACTGCTTTACCTTGGGGCCCCAGCGGGTGAAGGCGACACGGGCGTATTCGACGAAATCGTCCACGATTTCGGGGCTCAGCCAACCACCATATTTGTTTTGCAAAAAGAGCGGCAAGTCCCAGTGGAAGAGCGTGATAGCTGGCTCAATGCCGTACTCCAGACACGTCTCGATAACGTCGTCGTAATGCTTCAGTCCAAGTTCGTTGATTTCGCCGGAGCCCCATGGGAAGATGCGAGACCACGATATGGAGAAGGAATAGACTTTAACGCCAAGTGCGGCAAGGCGCGCGATATCTTGGAGACAATGTTAGTTTTGTTTTTCTAATATGAATGACTAAATTCGCATACCTTGCTTGTACATGTAGTATTCGTTGTTCGTAATGTCACCGGTATCATTTGTGACAACATAGCCGTTAACCCGATGGGAGAAGACATCCCAAATTGACGGTCCTCTTCCTTCATCTTTCACCGCGCCTTCGATTTGGTATGCTGCACCGGACACACCCCACCAGAAGTCTTTCGGGAACGACCAGCTTTCGTTTTTCGGCTGCAGGAAAGGATGCTGGCCACTGGGGAACGAAGCATAATAAAGCGGCGGTGGCAGTATGAGTTCGCTCGATGGAACTGGAGTCGCTTCCACGGTGGTGTTGATCGGAGGGCTGGCAACCGGTCCGACATATTGGTTCCAGTAGTCTGTTAATGTAAGTTTTCATGTCCTGCAATATGAATGAAACACGCGCCCATTTCGCGGAACCCCAACACAGGCATTCATAAAGCTGCCGCCTGCCCATTCCGCGAACTATCCGCATCAGCTACAAACATCTGACCAACATTGCTGAGCTACAGTCAAGACTGGTTACAACATTCAAGCTAGTCAGCAAATTCAGACCCCTAAAAAGGCGTTCATCGGTATGCCGAGCTAGCGTTTTCGTATCCATTCGCACACCTTTACCGTTATAGTGAGAGAAACGTAGTGACCAGTCAATGCTAAAAAGGACCGGATTGTAAACAGTCTCTTCAAGGGTCCAAGGCTCCGACTAGTCCAAACGGCGTAACCAGTTTCGACTGTAGGTAGAAGCCACACTGCCCATTAACATAGCGACGGCACATCCTCGGAAAAATGGTTCGACGAGAGAATTAGGAGTAGGGAGAGAAAAAACTGAGGACGCCTCACCTTCCAACGAGAAACCAGCCGTCGTGCTAAAAGCAGCTGAGCCGACTGTTTGTGTGCCACCCAACGACGAGGCCGAAGTCGCAGTTGCAACCGTCTCCTGTGCCACTGCCAAGCAGCCAACCAGTCCAAAGAGGAAAATTCCGACGTCCATTGCGGGAACCGGCATGTCGACTTAAAGGACAGCATCTCAGCGCGCACACAAGCCCTTTAAGAGTAGGACTGAATCCTCCGAGCCGAAATTGCTCGTCATAACAATAGACCGAATAAACAGGCTTCTCAGCAGGTCTTTTCAAGTATTATCCACACGCTTTGCGGGGAAAGCTGGGGGATATCCGAGCAGAGCATGACGCAAGATTGCAAGTTCGCGGGGCCGATGCGATACTAATGCGGGGTATTTGCTGCCAAGATTTTTGGAAAATTCTCCCAACTCCAAAGTCCTGTTTTGGAGCGATCTCGAAGTTTTGATGCGGAGAGATGCAAGAGTGGGATGGAGATGACGGAGACCTCGCGTGAACTCGGGTTTTCTGAGGCTTGAGAATGCGGTACTTAGGCTCTTCCATTTTGAGAATATTCTCAGACTCGGGCGGTTGGCGCAATGGTAGCGCGTTGGTTTTCGGCTCTGCTTAGAAAACACCAAAGGTTGTGGGTTCGATCCCCATGCTGCTCGCTTTTTATTATTTTGTCGCCAAGATGCTTGGTCTGGTTTATTTTGCTGCTCGGAATCGACCTGCAAAGGGTCGTGGGTTGTTGTTGTTGATGGGGAGAAGGAGAGCGCGTTTGTTACGGGCAGCGACGCGGTTGCGGCGCAGCAGCGCCGAATGTCCGACCGTCCTGCCGTGGCGCCGGGTGCTCCTTTCACGATCGCTCAGCCTCGTCAGAAACACAACCACCGGCATCACCGCGCGTCGTCAGGCGGGCAAGGACAGTCTCACGCTACTACGTTGCTTCATTGCCTCATTAAGTCCGAATATCAGGCCGTCTGGGTATTATCTAAGGATGCGACAGGCCAGTCTCAAAGTCCCATTGTCAAGCTGACTTGACGCCCTCCTCATTCGCCGTTCTTTTTTCCCGTTTTCCTTTTGCCGTACCCCATCACGCCGTCTACTTCTTATGATACACCAGCCTCCCTGGTGCGTAAAAAAACAGCCAAGTTCAAGAGAATATGAGTACAAGATTAGAACGATTCGCAAACACACGATGACCAGGATATCCGAAATGACTCAACAACCTGAGACCCAACCCCACCCGAAGCTCCGGCTGCTATGCATCCCTGGCTCGGTTCTTTGACTTGGGATTCTGGAGCTTCTCGATCATCTTCCTCGCCTCCTCTTCTGGCTCTTCGCGCGTCAAGTAGGTGCAAAGGTCCTCGAACGAGACCGACGCGTTTCTGGCCTTCTTGCCTGACAATGCCTCTTTGAGATGCGTCTCGTAGTGCGCTTTCCGGTTGTCGTTGCGGCTGAACCTCCTACGACAGCACGGGACGACGCAGGGGAAGGGTCTTTCCTTGCTGTGGGTGTTCTCATGCCTCTTGAGGTGCTCGGGACGGGCAAAGGTCTTGACGCAACCTTCGAAACGGCACCTCTGCTTCTTGGTCTCGCCAGTGGCAGAGATCAAGCGACCAGAGAACGGGTCTTTCTCAAGGCCGGTCTGGCACTTGACTTCGACAGGGCATCCGGACTCGTCGAGGCGAGCGTAGTACGTGTCGAGCTGGTTTGGCATGCGCTTCCGCTTGATCACACCGGTCGGACGCTTCTCCTTCCTGCTGTTCCTCCGAATTGGCGACTCCATGAAACTTCTGGACCTTCTGGCTGATGTCTCGAAGTCATCGTCCCTCTCTTCCTTGATGCGAGGCTGGATGATTGAGCCCGGACTTGTTGAGGAGCTGTACCCATCAAAAGATGCGAAGCTATCATCAAGGCTATCCGAGTGCATGTGTTCAAAAGACCTGTCATCGGGCGAAACGAAAGTTTCTGTCGGCTGGACCAATGCGGACACTCCGTTCTCAAAAGTTGGAAGATCAAACTGGGTAGAAGGACCCGTATGCCACTCGTAATCTAGGCCGACGGTGGTGTTTGTTGGTGCGTCATCATATGCCTCCGAGGTCAACGCCTGCATCTGGAAAGCAGATGTCGTAGCATGCGACATGTTCCACATGTCGGTGGAGGGGTAGATTTCGGCTGCTGGTTGCAAGGCCCTAGTGACTGCTTGAGGAGCCATGTTGGACTCAAAGGCCGGCCCCATGTCTCCGGAACCAGGCATGATGGTATCGCCGTCGTGGCCTGCTACCCTGAAAGTGTTCTCAAGATTGACTGGCTCGTTCAGGACCCACGCTTCTGACCGACGACCAGGGGCTGTTGACCTAGCCTTGGTCGTGTAAGCCAGCGGGTTTGCCCAAGCATCGGCAAAGTCTTCGAAGTCATGACCCGAAGATTCTTGCGATGAGTTCTCAAAAGGCAGGCTGGAGTTGACCAACATCCATTCCTCGGGTAGAGGCTCCCGCGCTGAATGAGGAGTGGGTGGCATTTGCGTCGAGCAGTACGATGAGTTGTTGCTGGAGAAGCTATGCGCGTATGAAGCGGCAGACTGCATCGAAGCGACCGAATCCCGACGACCGTCGTAGGCAGAAGAAGATGGAGTAAGATATCCTGAGCTTGGATAACTGGAGCTGGAAGGCTGCGACATGTCCATGCCTTCCGTCTGAAGAGGCGCGATCAAAGGCGCCGCCAGGGACCGGTCTCGTGGTCGAAATCCTGGGGTCAAACAGTCAGCCCTATTCCTCCCTCGTGTATAGAGTGGCAGGGCAGGGACGAACTGGGTAATGAGACGGCTTTGGAAAGGAATGATGGCTAACCCCCGGTTGGTACCTTCCAAGGCACTCTGGAGAGGACGATACAAGGGGATATAAAGTGTGAAGGCGTATGAGATGTAAGGGCCAGGTAAATGAAGACGTCAGGATGGATGAAATAAGGGGTTGATCGTGTGCTTTTGAAGGCAGTTGAGATTCGGCAGCCAGGCCGGAACGCCGTTGAACTAGACGTTGAAGTCACAAAGTCTACTCACCAGCGTGGTACATTGTTACAATTGGCGCGCGGTTGTGTACGCGACTGGTGAAGGGCGTTGGAATGGTGGCCAAATGTCGCGGCTTGTTCTGATAACCTTCAACTAGACTGACGGGTGCTTGTGACAGGTCTAGCCGGCGAACTGGCAATCGAGTGCCGTGGAGGGTGGCGCAAGGCGAAGGCTGGAGTAAGAAAAGACGATTAATCTCCCAACGATCTTCCGGATTGTACGGGACAGCTGCAAGGGGTTTCAGGAACAGTTCGAAGATCCAAATACGCAATGGAAGCCTCAAGTGTGTAGGGGGTCTCGACTAGTCAAGAGCTTTTGGGACTTGGGGTTTCTTATGAGGGGGCAGAATTTCAGGCACTCACCTTGCAGATTGTCAGCTGGGCGCTCCCGCGGGACCGGTCGAAGAATTCGGAGTGTGAGAGGGTGGTCTGCCACTGTAACGTCAACCTCACGAGCGCTTGCTTTATGGAATGATACCCTACCACGGAAATAACGCCACGCCGCTGTGCTCTTTCACGTCGATGGCTGCCGGCTTTCTAAAATACCATGATGGGGACTACCGACGCAATTCGCCGTACTTCTGATAAGGTTAAGGTCGAGTACAGCTAAGGTACAGCTAAGGAGACCAAGCGCTTCACGACGCCTGCATACATATGCAGGCATCATCAATTACTCGCATCATCAACGCTCTGCACCCCACACGAAACACGGTCCAGACGTCCAATCACACCAGTACGGAGCACGTAGAATCCGACCTTTCCCTTTCAGACTTGGGCTCGGCGAGGCAGGCCCTCTCCTCCGCCCCGCCTACTGTTGCCATTCCTATGGAAAGTCGCGCAGGCACTTGCAGGATCCGGAACGCAGATCGACGCCTGGAATGGTAGGCTTGATTTGTGGAGAGTGGAGACGCTCCAAACGGCGCCAAGCCATGTTGTACGCCACATGCTGCAGCCCTTCGAAGGCGAAGACATTCGTCAGAGCCAATGGCCGCCGTTGCCAGCGGGTGACAGTATTGTCCAGAGCTAACTGGCTCCTCATGGAGCCTTACCAGAAGCGGCCGGCAAGCACTCGGGCAAATCCGATCAGGATATGATCGGGATCCGAAATTCTACGATTGGATACCACGACGGCGGCTTCAGGAGGGACGAACGCTCAAAACTGGTCGATGCGGTCACTTGCGATGACAGCTTGATGCCGTTGCCTATGGTGGAATATCTCAGCTCCGGCCGAGAGCAAGGCGACCAGTCTCTTTCCCACCTGAAGTTTGTTCTCACCAATGACATGGGAGGCAGAGAGGATGGAGCCCTAGCGGATCAGTCCGCTGAGCCATCCGAGCATCGGATCTGATGAAGAGCACATCCGTATTTGGCCAGTCCATGTAACACAGCATAATGCAAAGCACTCGCAAATGCTTTGACCCAATCTCGGCCTGAGCATCGCCTGCATCGGTCATTTGCCAACCGGTGCAAAGTCGGCTGTTTCGGCACTGTCGAATTGGCATGTTTCAAGCGCGTATGCGCTGGAATGCATGATCTGACATTCGGGCTTGCTCCGCCGAGCCATCGAGAAACACGCGGAGAAAAAAGCAGTCACGGGAAAACGCTGTGTCGTGCAAATGGAGAACGTATAGGCGTACGAATGACTGCGCGGCACTCGCTTTCGGCCGCAGCTGCTGCTCGATTGGTGGCCCTGGGCGTTGTCTTTTGCCTGCACGATGTCGTCGGATGAATCTCAACTTTGACCCCTGCATTGCGGCGACCGCTCAGACCGGGATATTAGCGACGGGAGGTCGCAGCTTGTTAACGCTCCGGCGCAGTTCACCGAAAAGCTAAAACATACGCGGTATACGCGATCGTTGTGGCTTGCCTCGTCCCCCGCCTTGCCAGGGCGCGCCTCTAGGTATCCCTTGAGGGGTCATCGCGATCGTCAGGAAGACAGCGCGCCTCATCGCCATCGCGGTCTCAACGCGTACCTAATTGGATCATCTTAGCCTGCTTTCACTGTGCAACCTCGTCGCGCTCCGTGAGGCGTTCCCCCGGGGGGTTGGGAGAGGTGCCTTGCCAAGACGCAGCCGGATATGACAGATCGTGAGCTATGGCGGCCGAGACGTGTCTGCTGATCTAATGCTGTCTGAGCGTCGTAGGGCATGCCGCTCAGGCACCTTGATCGGCCATGCTACCTCGGCCTCCAGTTCTGTCAGTATATCTCCCATGATGAAACACTATGCAAGTGCCACAGACAGGCTCGGCCGATGATCGAAGCTTGATAAGAGCGGAGTCCCACTACTGGCATCGCAATCCAACTTCTTGGGACGTTCATCGCGCAAACCAATCGATCAGCAGCTCTCCAGTCGCGCCTGAGATTGGCCCAGATTGAGTTACCACGTTGTGAGAGGCGAGTGAGAAACAGGCCAAAGCCTACCGTGGATCATGCAACGACCACCATTCAGGCCAATGACAACCCTTCCCGTGCGCGTCAGCAAACAATGGCTCAAAATGCGCTCTCGCCCTGCTGACTCTGTCACCCTACCGTCAGTGAGCCCAGAAGACCGGATACCCAGGACCAGAACTCTTTCAGCCCCCCGTTGCACTACATGGAGTGTTCTTTCTCATCCGCATAGAGTCGCTCCAGCCCGATGTCCATTTCACTCTTCCTCTCATATCCTGTTTGATGCAGCACTACCTCCCGTTACGGCGATGTTGTGGCCAAACTCGGAGACAGCATTCCAACACCATCCCACTTCATCTAAACCATCCTCGAATTGCGCTACCCACCATTTCGAGGTTCCAGGGCGTTTCTTCACTTCTGACACAAATAACGCAGAAAAGGCTGCTAGATCTTTCCGCTTGCCGATTGACAGGGCTACATTACGTTGTCTTACATGCGGCGATGAGCTCTTTCGGGAAGTAAGCTTCGCCACAATATGCCGCCTTGATTTCATGCAACATAGCTTGCTGTTTGCAAGGGTCCAGTGGGGGTCCGTCTGTACCTCACTCCGGTCTGGCCTTTCGTGAATAACCAGGTGCAGGGGGTCGACTGTTGGTATGGAAGTATTGAATGCCGGACGCGCACAATTTTTGCGATCGTTTGCGTTATCACAAAAGCTCATAACCAGATGCCAGTCTTTGCGGGTCACCGTGTCAGTAATCGTCTGCCTGAAGGCTTCGGACTACAAACGCCAGACTACAAACGCCAGATGCCTGTTGAGATATGCCAGATGCGCCAAATTCTATCCGTACTACCGTCAAAGTCATGCTTTCTAAGCGCGCATGCGGCACAGTCGATGGCGAGTATCTTCAGCATGTCCAGCCGCCTCGATTACCGCGGCTAACCCGGCTATCAGACTCCCCCATGTACACCATGGCCATTGACAGTGGTACGTTGAGCGTCCGATTTCGCACGGAGCAACACCATGTTAATATATGCGAAACAACTATACGTCCGATAAGCTTCTTGATCTTCCCCGGCCCTGCATACTTCGAAGCCCACTTGTCTGCAGCTATCCAGCATCGACATCCGCCAGCCGTGTTAGGTCCTGCCAAGCGGATCATTGTTCTTCGAATTAGATCACCACTGCGCCTGTCAGTGCGTCGAATCCTGGTCAAAATCTTCCGGATAAGCTTGATCTTCGCTTGTATCCACCCGAGTCTCCACAGAGTTCAACGGTTAAACCTGGTAGACGCTCACAATGCCCTTGGCGACCTTCAACACAACATTTCTCTAGGCTAACGACCAGCTTCATCTAGACGCATATGCATCCCCGCTGCATTCCCCGTTCCCGTCCGACCGAGATCACTCTCCGCTCAGCGAGCTGGCAATGGCCGCCGACGCTAGAATTGTCCAAGGAAGGGCGTTAGACAACCACATTGTCATACAATCCATTATCGAATATTTTGAGAGGACCGGGTACGTCGAACACCGGAAATATCATTTAGCTCAACGCTACGGGAACCCCGTGTCCGTTTCCACACGCTAAACTCAACGGCATGTCGGACATCGGTCACATTGTGCTCCGTCAGCGCCGGAATAAGTCAAGTCCTATTGTCGCCTACCATGGAATGGAAGGCTTGGACGGCGGCGCCTCGTCGGAGTCATGGCAGCGCGGCCCGCGAATACGGCGACCCCGAATCGCTAAAGCAACTAAGCATGACTAGGGGTTGTTGCGTGGTACGGCGACCAATCGAACGGGCGCCAGCGGTCTTTCCCCACACCAACATTGTCAGCCAAGCATTAACGGTGACGCAACGGCCAGACGAGTGAGGTGCTGCGGGAGCGTCCGACTTGCTTGGGTCCGAAGACAAAGGGATGACACAATCATCGAAGATGTGACCAGAAAGAGAAGTGATGCAGTGGCCTGATGATCCAGAGCTCCACTTGTGAGGCAAAGTCTAGCGGGACCCGAGGTGTTGGGACAGAGAGCGTTTTTTCCCCTCAGCAGTCCCCTCAACCGCCGTGACCAGGTAAAGTGCTCGGAGAGGTTCGGCGAAGAATCTTCGATCGAGCCACGCGTCCCCACTGCAAGCGGACACGCGGTTTAGCAGTCTTGTCGGCCCACGCGGTCTGCGGCATCTCCTCCTGCCCCGACTCGAATATCCATCGCGTGCGTAGCGGGACCCAGAAGACGTTGCTCCGTCATCCAGGACTAGTGGCAGTCGGCGATTGCAAAGCACCGACGTGGCCGCATTCGGACATCCACAGGCATCAACATGTTTGCTCCCATCAATCGTCGATGTCTTTCTCACACCACCTCGCTTGTTGAGCGCAAATCACTGGCTCCCCGGGTGAAGTGGGTGGTTGCCTGCTAGGCGGCTGGTATCATCAGCTGTCTCCACTGTCGTATGCAAAGGCGTGATTGCTGAAGGTGAAATCTCGATGCGCGGGGCGTGGCATACGACGGCGGCTGAGGATACGTCGTCAGCAGAAGAATGTGCGCGGGTTGTGACGACTTCGAGCCGCTGGCGCAAAGTGACGGACCAGATGGGGTTTGCGTCTTGCGGGAGCATGGCTGTCTTTCAATGTTCCTACGGTCTTGCTGTCGCTGCCGACATCCCACTCACGCTTAAACTAGCTCTCGAAAACTCATTGTACGTGTTGAAGTCCTAAACGTCGAGTTTGCCAATTCATTCCTCCAGTCTCTCCCCGCTAAATACTTAAGCAAAGCTATCAGAAACTGGTCTCTGCGTGTCTACATTGCCGCACTCGCCGTTTGGGGGCGTTTACTGGAGCTTTTAATATGTTATCCTACACTTCGTGTTAGCAGTCTCACACTGCCCTGTTATATTATGAGAACTGCATCATAATGCGTGCTTGCGTACGAGTGTGGACTTCCGTAGGTAATTGTAAGGCCCTATGAGCTGTATTAATAGCATCTGCTAGAGGTACTATCAGCTCCTTATAAAAGGAGTTTTTATTTACGTTAGATGGCGAAAATATAACATGTCGCTCATGTCTATCTACTAGAAGGTACGTACAATTGTTGACCCCTGAAATACCCATCCGTCCGCAAATTCATCTATCTGCACACACATCCACGATCCATCTGTTTGTCCACCTTCATCATCGCCAGCCCATGTCGCTCATCATCATCATTTCTATCAATTGAGGTTCTGTATAAAGTTGATTATGTGCCAAAGTCCTTCGAATATCTTTCCCGGTTTATAGTCTGCCCAGTTCGAGCCCCAGAGTCTCTGGCATAGTAGGGACCTTGAGCTTTACGATTAGAGATCGCTTAGACTTTCTAGTCTTTCGGGACCTGGATCTGGACCCCATCTTGAAATTCAGCAGATACCTGCTACACAAACATATATGCATATTAGCTGCTAACTTCTTATAAAACGACATAGGTTTTAATTACTTTTACCTAACGGCTCTGAGCTAAGGTATCTGCTTCGGCACCTTTTAATAAACAGCTTTAGAAGTTGTCTCAATAAATACCCTCAGCAAATAACCTAAGAAACTTCGCTTTCTATAACCGTTTTATCTGCAGTCACCCGTTTCCCTTTTTGTCTAGAATTTAGATGTCTACCCTTATTTTTAACTCTTTCCTCCTTTATAATTATACCAGTTAACTTGAACGTTAAGTCAGTCATGCGCCTACGCGAGAGAACTCAGGCGTTCGAAGTTGCTGAACTAATTGTATTTTTAGGTGATACAGAAAAGGCAGCGCCAGATCCAACTGTTACTTCATGTTGTAGGTAGCCATTGCCTGCTCTTATGAGCTTTTAGTTATTCAATGTTGAAACTCGAGATCCTAAGTTATTTATTTAGGTAGGTAAAGAATTATATAACTCTCACTTAATCTGCGTGCTGGATATTAGACGTTCGGCCTTATATATTTTAGTTGCCGCTATAGGCATACGGCGGGAGTAAACTCGCAGGGCATTGCAGTAACAGTTAGGTCTAATATTTCAATACTTACTAGGTAGGTATATGTAAGGACGTGATTGTTCGAGCACATACCTAGGTACCTTATTAACTAGGTATAGGTATGATATACAGGAGAACAATTCTCGAGCACCTCTCATCTATCTATCGGATGGAAGTGCTATGTTGACCTAGATACCTACGTGGGTACCTAATGTAGGCACTCTATGTGAACGAAGACATGAAGCATCTTCCAGTACTAAGACGTGGTATACACTGGCAGTCGCGAGGGAGGGCAATTGCATACTCTACCGACGAAGCCCGTCTTGCCTTCAGACTGGGTATCACACCTGCCAGTCTACCCGCGCGTCTTCCTCTTTTGTCCACTAACCGACTAGTAATAACCCCCCCCCTCCTCGTACCCGACACAACACCCAATACCCAATACGCGATACGCAAGACCCACGCACCGCGCCCCCATCGTGAGCCCCCCGCGCGCGGACAGGCCCCCCCCCCTTCTTTTATATCTCTCTCCACTCTCTCCATCCCTCCCTCCGTCTTCCTCTCCTCTAGATCCGACAAAGACATCAGCTCCGACCTATAGAAGCTACCTATCTAAATACCTAGGTACCTTACATCGCCGTTTAAGCCCTCTAACTTTTCATATTCAAGCATCAAAGCCGGCGTCACAGACACCTCGGTTAAAACAACAACAACAATAAAGCCTCTGCCTAATCCCAAGCCCAAGCTCAAGCCCAAATTCAAGGATAACGCTCCATCCTATCCCGAGTCTTTTTCTTCCCCACCCCTACCACCCACGACGCTCTTGTAGTATATAGACAGGGCCGCAAGTAGTAGCCGGGGTAGTGGAATCATGACTGATAGCATAGAGGTAAAGGAAGGAGACGATATGCCGTTTGTTTTATTATTATAGCAGATTTTCTGCAGTACTGAGGGTTTATACGTGCTACGAGCTGCTAGCGCAGCCGTGAAGGTGGTGGAAGTGGATAAGAAGAAACTAGATATAGATATATGCTTATATATTACACTTCACTAGGTACCTTACGCGGCGATTCGGGCGTATATGTTTCTAAGTACCTTGAGTTGAGATTGGACAGGCCCCCGTGATGTATGTGTCTCTTCTTTCCTTGATGTCATGTTGAAGATTGCTGTTCCACACCATAGTAATCGGCGAAGTGAGTGCGTGCTTAGACGAGGTGGTATGTTTGTTTGCATTAAAAGTGTTGAAAGGAAGAGGAGGTATTACCTACCGAAATAAGTAGGGTAGGGAGAGAAGAAACCAAAAGGCAATCTAGAAACAAAACGCAACAAATTCTCCGCAAAAGGGGTATCCAAACCAAGACCCCACCGACCATCTAAGCCAGCTCATAAATCTTGTCATCAAACTTCACCGGGAACCTGTCCCTCCCCTCGGCGTCCTCCTTCACCCACACCGAAACACTGCACTCGCTGCACGTAAACTCCGCCCAACCGCCCTCGCCAATCGTCACGCGCGCAGGCTCCTCGCCGTCCCTCGCCCACCCCAGCACATCCGTCCACACCTCGCCCTCCCTCCCCTCTCCCACACACATCCTCCTCGACCCGGGCCCCGCATTACTCAGCACGACCGCGCAGCCCTCCGCGCGATCCCACGTCCCGCGCCGCACCCACCCGATACAGTTCGCGTCGGCCTTGTTGCCGTTGCCATCGTCCTCCTCGCCCTCGCCCAGCGGGCCAAAATAGTCCTCGCAGTCTCCGTACGCGTAGAGACTGCGCGCAAGGACAAGGGCGGGCAGCGCACCGGCGCAAGCCGGGGCCTGGACGTCGTCGAACGGCGTGTCCGGGCCGGGGAGCAAGCCGTACAAGTCGCCATAGAAGACGGAGGGGTAGCCGTCGGGGCGCAGGAGGATGAGGGCGTACGCGAGGGGCTTGAAGAAGTCGGCGATGGGTGTCTCGACCGTCTGGCCGGGCTGGGTGTCGTGGTTTGCGACGACGGTGACGGCGCTGACGGGCTCGGCCGCGACGAGGCTGCCGTCGAAGACTTTGCGCAGGTCGGCGGCCGCGCCCTCGCTGCTGGAGAGCTGGGAGAAGTTGTTGAGTAGCGGCGCGTCGAATAGGCTGAATTTGTGGCCCATCCGGTCTAGCCACTGCGTTAGTGTCGGCGTGTCGCCGACCCAGAACTCCCCCACCATGAAGACGTCGTGGCCGCACGCGTCGCGCACCGCGCTGACCCACTCGTTTGTGAACCGCTCTGAGAAGTGCTGCACGGCGTCGAGGCGGAAGCCTTTTAGGCCTAGCTCTTTGGTGATCCAGACTCCCCAGTTCTTGGTGTCTTCGATTACTGTGGGGTGGTTAGCGCACTTGTACGGGGTAAGGATCAAGTGGAGGGTATGTTCGTACCTTCGTCGTGCGAGTAGTCCAGGTCCGCGAACATCATGTAGTCGGCGTTGCCCTGCTCCTTGCCCACGCTCTCACTCCACCCCTTCCCCTCGCCACAAATCTTATAAACCGCCTTCTTCTCATTGGCAGCATTCCAATCCGTGCCAGTGAAATGCTGCCAATGGTACTTCTGGCTACTGTACTTGTCGCCTCTGCCGGGGAAATCGAAGCCCAGCCACGCCTCGATCTCGTACGGGTCGCCGACCTCCTGGTTGCGGTCCTCCTCGTCGACCTCGACGGCCTGGCACTTCTCCTTGTTGTCGGCGCCCGCCTTGTGGTTCAGCACCGCGTCCCAGTACAGCCCGACGCCCTGCTCTTGCGCCTTCTGGCTCAGCTCGCGCAGCTGCGGCAGCGTGCCCCATTTGGTGCGGACGCTACCTTTCTGGTCGAACTCGCCTAGGTCGTACAGGTCGTAGATGTCGTAGCCGTTGCCTTCGGGGGAAGAGCCTGTCGCGGGGCCGAGTTAGTGCGCTGTGCTGGCTAGTTGCTCGGGAAGGGAATTGCGCGCGCGCGCGTACCCTTGCACCCGGGCGGCAGCCACAGGTTCGTGATGCCGATTTCTTTGATCGAGGGCAGAGCCGCGGTCAGACGCTGCCAGTGCTTGCCGTCTGCGGGGACATTCCACTCGAAGCCTTGGAGGAGGGTGCCATTTACGGGCGTGGGTTCGCGCTTTTCGTCTGCTGTTTCTCGTCAGAACGTCATACAGAAAGATAAAGATAAAGGGGAAAGTTAAAGTACCTTGCTCGCCCATATCGATACCAGCTCTATCTATGATTTTACGCTGAAAAAAGTTGTACGAGCAAGAAGTGACTGGAACTGGAGGCCAAGAATATTGCGTTGCGAGAGTAAACAAGCCTTTAAATCAAGACAAAGGGGCCTAAATAAAAAATAAAATAAATAAAGCCGCCGACCATGGCTTTCACTACTGTATGAGTTGGCATTACGTAGATGGTGCGCAAGACACGGGCCCAGCTCCGAGCACGTCCAGGAATAAAACCTGCATGTCGCGGCCCTAATCGGCTTGATGGAGGATTTTGGGAATGCCAGCAGGGCCCGAGAGCCGGGGGTGCGATAAAGTTGCGCGCCTTTGACGTCGGCGCGCGAGAGACGTGCGGCGCGGAGGAGGGGCTCTTCCGGGTCTGGGCCTGCGTAGCGGTGTGGAGCAACTCAGCTCCCCACGGAGAGAGCTCCAGCTTATCGGCCCGTAAATATCAAATACATAAAATGCCCCGGGGGCTAATGGAAATGCTGTTTGATGATATTGACTACGGCCGTTGCTACTGCATTATTGACTTCTTGCTGAAACTCCGTTTACCCCCACCTTTGCCTTTAGACCCCATCCCAAATCCCAAATCCCATTAACGCCTTCGCTGGTATACCCGATCCGTCCCATACCGTACAAAATAAACAATGGTGGTGGCCCTGCATCTACAGGCCCACCCAATCGCCGTCTGTACCGCCTTCTAAACGCCGCCCATCTCGACCTCAACATCCTCGTACGGTTGAAGAAAGTCGGCCTCGTCAAAGTCGTCATCCACGATCACCGGAACATCGTCTCCCTGGAGGGCGCCCCTCCTCTGGGTGCTAAGAGCGCTCACGCCCTTTCTCTTCGATTTGGGCCGCGCAAGAGGTCGTGCGGAGCTCAGATTCGGCATCGACGTGTGGCTGACGGGATAGGTCGTGCAGGGTGAAACCTGGAGATCGTCGTCCGCGAAATTGGCAATGTTGGTGTTGAGCGCAAACAAAGCGTTACTGCGGCTTGGTTGCGCGGTGGGCATCTCCTCGTCGTCGTCTTCCTCCAAGAAGCGCCGCTTGTTCGCGCTCGGAAGCGGAGTGCGCACGGCGTCAGGCGACAAGTTCGAGTTGCTAGACGCTTGCGATGAGACGGCGAAGTCGTGCGCCGCATAGTTGACGGGGCCGTAGGCGTCCACCGGGGCGCTGCCCGGCTGGGTGGTGTGACCGCCGACCTTGTGGATGCCGCAGAAGGGCAGCAGCTCGGCCGGCCTGTTGGTAGGCCCCGTGTATCCGTTGTACGAGATGGCGTCGTTCGCGGAAGTGGGCAGCGTCTTGTGCGTCCGATAGCCCTCCGGGACCGACTTGCGCACACGCATGCCGACGTTCAGTAGCGACGCCTGGACATTGGCCGGAAGTGGCGTCAGACCTTGGTGCGGCGGCGCAACGGGGGAATTCGAATCGTAGGCGGCGGCATCGGCGCGCGCAAAGTATGAAGTGATGGACGGTTGGTAAGGACGCTTGGTGCGGTGCGTGGCTGCCATGGCGGGTGTTGAGAAGTGGTAGTGGTAGATAGTGGTGAACGAAGGACGGAGCGCGGGCTCGTAAGGTAGAGCAGCGGAAAGCTTGGACGACGGGAAGCACGGACTGGGCAGGAGGGATTGGAGGAGTGCGGAGGTGAAGGAGAAGGGGACTCAGGGAGTTTGCTTGGTAGCTGAGGGTGGCTGGTGCGCGCGCGCCACGTCAAGTCGCGTCTTTGACACGATCCCGCGTCTTTCACTCGGTCCGTTTCCCCTCCACTTAGCTTTCCTGCTTTGTCTAGGTAGACCAGACAAAGACATGGCAGCTGCAACCTCTCTTTATTGTCGCAGTCATTGTTCAATGCGCTTCCGCTTACGGCTGACCTGCAGGCACCATTCCTTTGTCTAAATACACGACAAGATGCTGTGACTGACAACCGTGCGGGAACCAATCACAGACAAGACAATGCTGCATCCAACATTGGCAAAGTGCGATATGACTGCAGCAACTAGGTTAGAATCACGTCCCAAAAATAGAAACAGGCTAGACGATGATGAATAATGTTGCTCTCATTCTGACAGAAGCTCCAGATCAATTCTAGGTATGAAACTCCAAGGTCTATCAAACAAATCCTATTTCTATAGAAACACAATCAAGAACAAAAGCGACTTTTCTACCGTAAAGAAATGGTATCTCACAGACCTCCAACAATCCGGCAAAAGTAACCCATCTTGCTCATCTCAACCACAATGCGCCAAACCAGCCCCTCAAATGTAGTCAAACCATCAAACAGAGAAAGCAAACAAAACCAATCACACAACAGGATGCGAGTCCAACGGCCCCATCTCTCTCCGCCCAGTGCCCACCTCGCCACTCTCCCTCTCCAGCAACGGCGACGGCGAAACCCTCATCCCCTCATCCCCACGATAGCCTTCAAGCGAAGACACCCTAGAAACCGACTCTTGAATCGGCGAAATCGACATGCCGCCATCTGCCCCTCCCCGATCAGAAAGTCTCCGCAACTCTGCCGTATCGAGAGACGAAACCGTGTAGTCTGACCGCCGCCTATCAAGTTCCCCCTCGCCCTCGCTAGGCGGATACATGGGCGACGCCAGCGGCGACGGCACGCGCGGAACCGACGATGACTCGGTGCGCGGCCGCAGATGCAGCGAGTCGCGGCCGGGCAGGAAGCTGTTTCGGCGGGGTGAGCCGTCGCCGTCTGTGCTGGGCGCGTAAGACGAAGACGCCATCGCAGGGAAGTGTTGTTCGTGCGCTGTCATGCTGGTTGATGGAACGAACGCGTTGTTGTCCTGGCGCAAGGCATTGCGGCCATAGCTGCCGACACGGCTGTGACTGGGCGCCGAGCCGCTGCTGCTGAACGTCAGGACGGAGAGGCGCGGTTCGCCGGCGATGCTGTCGGCAGGAAAGGCGCTTCCGATGCCGACGAGGTCGAGGGAGTGTCTTTGCGAGCAGTTGTTGTTAAGGTCGTGCGAGGATGACACGGCGAGGTCGAGGGGGTATAGGGACGGCCGCTCGTCGATGACCGATGCGTTCGGGGCCATGGAGCTAGAGGGCCGCTTGCAGGTGCAGTTTGGTGCACATGAGCATGAGTTTTGCTGAGCTGTTAGTGTCTTTTTGTGTCGAAGGTCCTTCAGCCGCTCCAAGTCGTCAGTCTCGCGGCCTGAATTTCGCCAGTCGGCATCTGCGACGGGTTTCTGGTACGCGCTGTTGTTGTCTGGTTCTAGTTGGTTCTCGGATATACTCTCAAGGGCTACTGCTAAAGGTGGAGACAGTGCTGGCTGGTTCCCTTGGTCATAAACAGTGCCCACAGCAGACTGATCCGTTGCAGTTAGACCCCGGGGTTTTCGTTCTTGAGAAGGTTCCTCGCCCGTTACAGTAAGTTCCTGTGGATATGCTGATGTCACCCGATCAGGACCTTGTCGTTGGTTGCGGGTTTGGTTGTACTTGTTCGTCCGCTTCATTGAACCTAGGCATTTTATAATCTTCCTCATTTTACTTTTGCCTTTGTCCAAAAGAGTCGCGCGGCCTCGATTTTCCGGAGCTTCTGTTTCGAGCCCTGGAAGACCACGCATCGAGGTACTATGCTCTATGAAGATAGATTGCCTTGGTCGGTCACTGTCCCCAGCAGCTCTCGTACGGACTGGATTTAGATTTGGACCCTGCATGTGCTCCATGAGATGCTGTTCTGGAACTTGCTTCGTAGGTTCTTGTTGATTGGATGGATGCGGTTTTGGCTGTTGGTTGTCCATGGGGGTATCGCCTCTATCATAAAGTATACGAGGTATCGCAAGAGTAAATGTAGGGCTTCCGAGGGCACTCATAGCATTCATCTCAACCAATGACGATATGCAAGGAGCATCTCTGAAGCTTCTGAGGCCATTGTGTGGGTGATCATCAGTGGTTGGATAGATGGGAATCGTCTGCTGCGATACCAGGGACGCGTGCGTAGAGTTTCCGCCGAGACCGAACCATTTGTGACCGCAGTTCTCGCATCGTATTCCGTTGTAGACCCCGGGATGACGTGAAAGCTTCAACTTCATCTTGTAGTGCCAGTGGTGGCATACTGGACAGCTACCTTGGAAGCGGATGTCCCAAAACCCAGAAGGCACGTCAGAGAAAGACATGTCGGAGAGCATCGACAGATTCGTATCCATCCGGCTGCCAAGTGTGAATGAATTGTCCGGAACTACGTTAGTGGACAGCGATGGCGGCGGCATGATGAACCTGGCAGACAGTGTACGGCTACAACTGAACGGGCCTTGTATATATACGCGTTGAATGCCAAATCAAAAGAGATCGATCGACAGTTGCCAGCTCCTATCGCTAGGAGTGTTTGAATGCTTCTCCTGTAAGGACGAAATTACAGGACCTAACTGACTGAAAATTGTTTAGTTCATAGCGTGGATTTTGACACGTCAACTCGTAGAAGCTCTTCCACTTACCTAGTCGGGGATATAGTTTGGTAAGAGCCCAGGTAATCCGCTTTGTATTTGGAGGAAAGCCTCCTCGGAGGGGCCCAAAGTTTGCGTGAAGCCAGTATGAAGTCCTACGAGTGGACGATAGATCGAAGGCTAGGTGTAGACTTCTCCACATACGAAGAGGCTACGCACATCTCCAAGATAAAAAAACGGTATAGGCGTAGAATGTGTGGATGGAATATGTTTGTCAGTGTCGGTAAGACTCGCCCTACAGGTGCATAGAGAATCGCGTGGGATAAAAATTGAGGGGACAAAGCAGAAGAGTGGAGCAACGCAGCTGAACAATGACATTCTAAGGAAGTTCTTATGAAAGACTAACAGACCCTGGGGTCCCGTTATACCCTACCTCTTGCGCGTTGTGGCATAGATCCCTGTCGTCATATCCACGAGCACCGAGGCTGAGTGGCTTCCAATATTGTGGCACAGCCCGCAGCCTGGACGGGCACTCCGCTTCTCGAGCCTCCGCCCATGTGCATTAATAATATGCTGCCTGGGAAACGATACGGTGACGGGCTATTGTAGCATTACACCACGATATTTTGCCTGACGTTGATCCTGAGGATGCCAGACCGGTCCCTAAGGCAGAAGTGTCAAAAAGAAACAGAGGAACACGTGGTGGGCGAGCTGAAAATAGACCCCGCAGCTGAGAAACGCCATCTGCTCAATCCAGGATCAAAGCCGTGTATGGCTTTGATTTATCAGTCAGGTCACTACCATATTGGCAAAGAAGGCGGCCAAGATCCTAAAGTGGAATCTTTGAGTAGACTGTCCAGATCCCTTACGAAATCATTTTGCCCAAGTTTACGCCGAGTTGGAGAGATGGCCCCCACTAGGCTGTCCAAAAAAAGAGAAGGTGGTAAGCAGACGGAGGCTGAGAACCACATGGCCGGGCCTCACATGCGAGATAGCCGACAAAATCATCTGCTTGCAGTATGTAAGAGCGCATTTTCCACGCTACCCACGCCGAGCAGTCTTCGCGCTGAGGATAGGTTGCAGCGCTGTCTTGCGCCCAGCTTCTGCAGCTTATGTCCTTTACATGGGCGTCTGCGATTTCCTGTTAACTTGCAGGGTCGAAATAGCAATGTTTACACAAATTTTGACCGGTCTGCTTGCATCTGTGTTCCGCGCGGGCGTACGATATAAGACGCAGAAACTCTTGATCTGGAAGACGACAACGAGGCGAATCATGAGCCGATCAACTCACCGTCGAAACGGGATGCCGCGAGGCTGATTCCGCTTCCGAAAGGATTCGTAAAAGGCCTTTATGAGGTCATGACGGGTCAAAAAGCTGGCGGGTGTTGAGGCAGTGCAGACGCGCCCCTAGGATAGAGAGTCAGGCGAGAGACGTGCCGACCCTTGTGCCAACGTCAGCGACAGCGAGCGCAGCAACCGCAGCCTTGAATGAGGTCGCCAGCGGGCTTGCCGCTCGTCGCTCACTCCGGGAAGCCGTGCTTGCATGTTGGTGAAGCTTTAGAATCCATAAGTAGTTAAGCATCCGCGCACCGATGGCCGTCTCCGATGCACGGGAGATCGCGGCCATGCACGCACGGAAGAGTCTGCAAGAGGAAAGCCGCAACGCGTGACCAGCGGAGAAGAGACGATGGCCATCACGCGGTGGTTGAGCGATCCCCGCACTCTCTCCAGGCACCCGGGGCCGACGTCGGGAATGACGTGGGCCGAGATCGGACGCCGCCTCTTACCTCCCCCACCTCGGTGGAATATTTTGAGAGTCAAGTCCAACACCATCACACCCATTGCTCGCGCATCATGCCTTCTTTCAACATTGTAGTCTTTGGCGGTAGGTTTTCACGGCATGCCGTCAACTGCTAGCTGCTAATAACTCTTGTAGGCGACCACTGCGGTCCTGAAGTAAGCTTGCATCAGACACCTTTGCATTCACTCGACGCAAGCTCACGTTAGGACACCAGGTTACGGCTGAGGCCATTAAGGTACCGCGACATCCCCCAAAGCTCCTCAGGGACCTCGCTTACATTTTTAGGTCCTTAATGTTATCCAGAAGGAGCGCTCCGATGTCCAGTTCAACTTTCAGGAACACTTGCTTGGAGGTGTACGTCCACGAACCCATATCTCAAGAAATCAACTCAAGCGCGTGCTAACGTGGGTGAATATTAGTGCTCGATAGACGCCAACGGCTCTCCGCTCACCGACGAGGCCCTTAACGCGGCGAAAAACGCCGATGCTGTCCTGCTTGGTGCCATTGGTGGACCCGTGAGTCCCTCCATCCAGATACTGTAGAGCAGAGTGGTAACTTGACGTTGTTTGCAGAAATGGGGCACTGGCTCGGTTCGCCCCGAGCAGGGCATCCTGAAGCTCCGCAAGGAGATGGGCACCTTCGGTAACCTCCGTCCCTGCTTCTTCGCTTCCGAGTCGCTGGTCGACGCTTCCCCCCTCAAGGCCTCTGTCTGCTCCGGTGTCAACTTTAACATCATTCGCGAGCTTACTGGCGGTATCTACTTCGGCGAGCGCAAGGAGGACGATGGCAGTGGCGAGGCCTGGGACACCGAGCCGTACTCCCGCCCGGAGATTGAGCGCATTACCCGCCTGGCGGCCAATCTCGCCCTTCAGGAGGACCCTCCTCTCCCCGTCTGGAGTTTGGACAAGGCGAACGTGCTCGCCACCAGCAGACTTTGGAGGAAGGTTGTCACGGAGGTTATGGAGAAGGAGTACCCGCAGCTCAAGCTCGGCCACCACCTCATTGACTCTGCAGCTATGCTGATGGTCAAGAACCCGAGGGCGCTGAACGGTATTGTCGTTACCAGCAACCTCTTCGGAGACATCATCTCCGACGAGGCTAGCGTCATCCCCGGCTCCCTGGGTCTCCTTCCCAGCGCGTCTCTGAGCGCTGTCCCTGATGGCAAGACTAAGATCAACGGTATCTACGAGCCTATCCACGGTATGCATAAAAATCCCATCTCAAAATTCTCTCACTAAGTCACGCGCAGGCTCCGCCCCCGACATCTCCGGCAAGGGTATTGTCAACCCCATCGCCACGATTCTCTCCGTCAGCATGATGCTCAAGTACTCCTTCTGCTTGCCTGACCTCGCCAAGGCCGTTGACCAGGCCGTCAAGGTTGTCATCGACAAGGGTGTCCGCACGGGTGACATTGGCGGCACCGCTAGCACCAAGGATATGGGTGATGCTATTGCGTCTGAGCTCGGCCAGATTCTCAGCGGCCAGAAATAGGATGTAAGATGTCGGAATGTTTGGAAAGAAATTATGAAAAAAAAAGTGTTGTCAAATGATGAAGTCTGTAGAAGAATATAAAAGACTTGAATACGTAGCTCGTGCCAATGACATGGATTCACGCCATGCTGATAAATACGCGCGCCGTGATGGAATGTACCACACAGGTACTGACCGCCCGCGAATCGCCATTTAGGGCTGCATTAGCGCTCGGCCCGTTTCAGGAGAGGTACGTCAGAGAGCCGACGTGGTGAGTGACCGGAGACAAGCGGAAGACACGCTGCAACACGTCTCTCAAACCTCCAACACCTCGCACGTTATGGCGGAAGTTCTTCCGGAAAGGAAAGGGTTGAGGGCCCGAATAGGTGCCGCGTTGCGGCCCAAGAAGTCGCACAAAGCCTTGCGAGCAAAACAGTCGTCGGAAACGTTGAGACCATCAACATCACACAGCACCTTCGCCTCGGATGCGCCTCTGAATCCATGGCCAGAGCCGCCTCCAGTCCCACAAATTCCCGACGCCTTCCAAGACGAGTTGAGGCCAACGACGTCGGGCGACGGCTTGGGAGCCAAGGCGGCCCGCAACCGGCTCAGGAAAAAGCCACCCACTCCAGTCGCCACCAAGTACGAGTCCAGGCCGGCTGGCGGCTATCGGACTCTTGCGGAGGCCAAGCTTAACGCGCCTGATAAGGGGTTTATCGACTCGCAGACGGGTGAACGCCTGGATACGACGGCCATCTTGCACGGCTTGGCTGATCGCGACGACGCCGAGGACTATGAGGAGCCGCATCTCCGGGAAGACGGGACTCTGCGGCCGCCCGGCGAGCCCATGGTAGCTAGTCTATCCTCTGAGCTTTGGAGCCGTATCGTGGCTTACCTAACCCCCACTGATGCTGCTAACCTCGCTTTCTCGAGCAAGACGCTGTTTGATCGAGTGGGATACGGCCCTTGGCTTGCCTTGGCCCTGCCCGAGAACCGGCAGTACAAGATCGACTTCCTTGTTTCTATGGACCAGTACCTCCCTGCCCATTTGTTTTGCTTTGCATGCGCGCAATATCACCTCAGGACACAGCCGGGCCAAGAAGAACTCAAACCCACCAATGTACTCAATCCGCTTTTCAATTGTCCAAATGCCTCGAATCCCTTGACACCGCCTGCGCGAGCACGCATAGCCCCTGGCCGGACCCTGCCGTTCACATTCGTTCAGCTTGCTCTCCGAGCTCACCGCTATGGACCGGCCCACGGCATCGAGATAGACGACCTGAACCGCCGCTGGAGGGACCGCGAAAGCGGGTGGTCGCACCACTCGCGTTACCAAGTGACGAAGCAAGGGCATCTACTCGTGCGGGTAGTTAGCACGTGCTTCGCGCAGGGGGGGCTGCCACCCAGCGGGCTGCGGCGACTGCTCTACTGCATGGAGGACGACTACAACCCGTACTTTTCGGTCTGCGCGCACTGGCGAGACGGCGACCTCATGAAGATCTGCAAGTGCGCGCTGGGCCATATCCCAAAGGCGCAGAACCGGGGCGGGCTGGAAGGGCAGCTGACTCGACGGATGGAGCAACAGGGGCTAAGGCAATGCGCGAACCCTCTCGCTATTGTCAGTTTGTGCGGCGAATGCCAGCCTATGCGCCGCTGCCCCGAGTGCCCCACCGAGTACATGGTCGAGATCCGCCGCGCAGAGGACAAGAACGACCCTACGCAGCGCTTCAAGCAGGCCATTACAGTGACGCGCTGGAGCGACCTTGGCGACGGCTCGTCGCCTGACTCACCGGAGTGGGCGGCTTGCAACGGCCTGGTTGAGTATGATTCCTTCCAGCATATCGGCCGGCGCGCCATCTCGGGCGTCTTTGAGAGCCATTCCACCAGCGAGCATATCCCCGGCCAGCGCATCATGTCGCTGAACCCGCGCAACGAGAAGAAGGGCGAGGCTGGCAACGACTGGTATTGAGCTCGGTGGTAGGCTACGCTACGAGAGCGAGCTACAACAAAAAGGCCGCAGTTCGCTTTGGACGGAGTGGATGCTAAATTTACCAGATCGGGAACGGGGCTTGCCCGAGCAGAGCTCCTCGCCTGTGTGCTCTTACGCCACCAACACACAGCTGCCGGCGCACAATACGAGGTCGTCGTTACGTCCCCCGCCTGGCTGGGCGATGCGGGCTTCGAACTCGAACCACGCGCCATGGAGCCCAGTCTGGAGCCGTCCGAGAAAAGACAGCACAGCGACCGCGTGGAACGGCACCCGGAAGCATGCGGTCAGATTCGGCGTGGGATGAGACCAGCGGAGGAGTTGGCGCGTTGTGCGATCTCAAGACGGCGTGGCGTGGCGGGGCGGGGAAGCGGCGAGCTTCTTCAAGCGCCCACGAGACGTACTGTAGGCACGTATGGCGGACGGAAATGAGATGCCGGCGAAGAAGAGAACGGGGAGGCCGCGTTGGACATGTCGACCACATACGTATTGGTACATTAAACTACGGCACATATACTCCTCCGCTGAAGGACAGCAAGCGCGGAGGCGATGGTGGCGAGCCGCCAGTGCCGCTGCTGGCTAGGTCGTGTGGATTGCTGGCAATTATAATATCTTAGTTTGCTTACATAGCTGTAGGATCCGTAACTGTAATTATTATTATCACTCTCATCATCATCATCATCATCATCAGCAGCAGCAGCAGCATCTCTCATCACTTTGTTGGCGACACCTGGCATCCACGTCCACTCCCTCCGTTCTCTCATCCTACGCCTAATA